TTTGAGACATGCACTCAGAGCTGTAAATGCAACCATACAAACAACATTAGTCTTATCTATGTTAGAAGTGATAGCTAAGGAACATAGTAAGTTCTCTTGAACTTTTTCTTTTCTTGATCCAGCTTGTTCCTTTTTCTTCCATATCCATTTCTGCTTCATTGTTCCAGATTGCATTAAAGTTGACAATCTGCTAACTTTTTTTGCTAACTCTGAAATTTGATTTTGAAGATTTTCTGCAGTAAACTTGTTAAACTTTTTAACTCTATTCACCCGTTTTGTGTTTGCTCCTGTAAAGTTCCCCATTGCCTTGAAAACCATTGGCTGGTCAACAAGTCAACTTTCTTTAGTATGCGAGTGTACCACTGCTAGTAATAAAAATTCTAGCAGACTTCTTAAAAATAGATAACTTGTGAATTTGGGTGAGTGTTACTGATTTCTAAACAAGCGATTGTGAATTTGGGTGAGGAATATCTCCCAAGTAAGTTCTTTTCTTGCCTTAGGCTGGTGAGGACTTCACAATTTATCACAATACAAGATTGGTAGTTCTGGCCAGAACAAATGGTAATAAATTGAACTGTTTTCAGGCGGAACTGCCCTTTACAAAACTTAAAAGGGAAAAATCAACTTCAGAGAGACAAAAAGAAGGCTTGACTTCCATTTCTGCATGGATAGAAGCTTCTGATCCGGGCTGGACTGGGTATTCCTATGCTGCGCTGGACTGTCAACAACTTCAACTGTTGAGCTTCAGCTATAAATCGATACCAACGTTTGAGTTTGGCAAAGCTTTAATCTACTTCTAGCCCTGGAAGGCTTTTTGAGTGGGCAGAATTGCGGCTTCTCCAATCTTAGAAGGGCAGAAGTGGCTGGACTTGAGGATTACTGAGCTGGAACTGCAATGTGGTACCTGTTCTACTTGATCAGGGCTCTCCATAAATTTGTTGAGGTTTTCATATTTGTAAAAAAACCAGGCTCTGCTTGTTCTGGCTTTTGCTGAACCAAATTTGTAACAAGAGAAATCTCGTTTTGAAGGACTTATTTCTCTAAGTCTGAACTGGAGGTTCTAATTTATAGTTGTCTTCTCTTGTGGCTGAAATGAGCTTTTGGTTGCTTCAGTTTGTTTGAAGGTTCTCAGAGATCAAGTGATCGTTTTGAATTTTTGTCTTTGGTTGATTTTTTGGTTGTTCGATTTCTATTCTCCTTTGCTCTGTTCACTCTCTCTTATATCTATAGGAAATGCTGGAGTAGGATTCTTAATCCTTAAAAAATGGGCGGCAGAGTTTCTAAAAAAATTCTTTCATTTTAAATGCAAAGGAAAAAGGGGTTTTATCAATTCTGGTAGATAAGCCTTCAATAGTCAGTTCCTAGGGCTATCATTTCCCTATTTTTCTTGAAATGAAAGCCTGGCCCTTCTTTAATTTCAACTGCTTTGTAAGAGTTCAATTTGTAATGGTTAGTTTGATTTTCCAGTTTGAACAACTCCCTGCTTCCCACTTATCTCTAAAACGTAACCTGCTTATCTCTTGGAAGTAGTGCCTTTCTTTGGAGTAGAAAATATATCTGAATATATATATATATATGAAAGGGATTTTGACCTTCTGGTTTGGCAGAGTTTTCAGAGACATCTTTTTTTATACCTGCCCTTGTTAACTCCTTATCAATCCCAGTTGAAATTGCTGACTTCTCCAAGTCAGAATAAATCACGTGGGTCCGTTTCCTTTTGGGCCTCTTCTTCTTTACTTTGGCCACACCAATCCGAGTTTAGGCTTTATTGTCGTGTTTTGACAAATCCTAGGCTAAGCTTTCTTGGATTTGGGCCCTTGATTACAATTCTAGTCCATACTGCCTGGGTTTGATTTTGTCTCGTCTTTTTGGGCCTCCAGTGTTGGGATGAGAGTGTAATCTTGAATGCTGGTGGCCCAGAATTGACATGGGCTTTTGTTCTTTTGTGCTGTTTCACCACAACCATGACACACTTGATTAAACCTTTTTGGCGCAAAACTAGTCATAACCTTATAATGTAAAGCGGTTGCATTCATATTTTTAGAGGCAATATCAGAAGCAACATTGTTAAGAGTTAATAATAGGTTTAACAAATTTAGTCACAGAATTAGTTGAAGAGGAGGGTTAAAGTGTAACACCCCGACTCCAAACTGTTCCTTATTTTAATTTAATTAAGTGAATTTACGGAATTGCCCTTAAGGTGAGGGTAATTTGGTCATTTTATTATCCGAAAGATTTTTGGGCCACGGGTGGTTTGGTTGCGTTGGTGGCTCTGAGATGAATTCGTAGACAGGCGGTAGGCTTGAATCGGAGTTATAACGAAGTTTTGGCGATCAAATTACCTTCAGTGGCAAAACCGTAAATAATTCGAAAAGGGTATTAGTAAAAATCAGATTTTTTTCAATTTCACCTCACCTTTTCTCTCCCTCTCCCGCGAACTCTCTCCCCCGTCACTGGTCACCCGAACAGAAACAGCCATCCTTCGAGACCGGTCCAGTTCGAATCGTAGTGATGCCCCGATCCTGAACCACCCAAAATCCCGACCGGAAAGCTCCAGAACCAGACCGGACTTTTCCGATCGTTGCGCCGCCGCCTCCGTCGTTCATTTCAGGTAAAATTGGTGGGGTTTCTCCCTCTTTTTACGTGTTCTAGCTGGCTGTTGCATAAGAATTGTTCAATTTGCTCTTTAGAATCCAATTTGAGAAGCTAGGTTTTGGCCGGTTTTCAATTTGAAATTCCGGCCAGTTCCCGTACGAATTGGACTTCGTGGTAGTTGATTAAAGTGATCCTGATCTTGAGAAGAAGCTAGGGTAGGAAGGGTGAGCGTTGGTGTGGAGATTTTCCTGATGAGATCCTTAGGTTGTCACGAGCGCATAGGATTTCGCGGCTCTCAATTCCGAGGTCGTTTGACTATTGAACGGATTATCGCATATTGTGCGTTATCCAGGTAGGAATTCGCTCTAGAACGGATTATCGCATATTGTGCATATTGTGCGTTGGATCGTTTCTAAATTGAAGTATATTGCTCTAGACCCTCCTAAGATCGTGTAGGAATTCGCGGATCGTGAATCGGAGCCCCGAATGTTCTGCTTCAATAACTTTAAGTTTACGTTTTACAACAACCGTCCGATCGTGCGATCGTAAGCGATCTAACCGCCCATTTTGGACCAAACTTGCAGGAGGTGCATCTTAGACCTTGTAAAACCTTTAGGAACTCCCGGATGGAAAAACAGAGGTCGTGGGTCCCGTGGGCCCGGTTAACCTGATTTGAGAAGTTTGACTGCCCGGTGGACCGAATGTCTCCCGAGGCTTTTCCATCGTCCGGTTTGGGTAGTTGGACCTTAAAACGTCTCTTTCCGCGTAAACTCACTAGAAACCCGGGAAACTAGGTTTTTAATTCAAAATTCTGTTTTGAAGCGCTTGATGTTAATCGCATGTTCGTTTTCTGAAACAGGTACTCCGACCACGCATACGCAGTAGGCGGGGCCCTCTCAAGGTCAAGCAGCGTGGGACTACTTGTGAGTGGACTTTGTTTTTAACGAATATGCATGGTTTTATGATGGGAAAATTTATGCATAATGTTTAATGGTATATTTGGATATATTATTATTTATTCAATGGTGGAAAATGATATTTTTATGAAGTATTGGCTATGGATGGGGTACTTGGGGTACTTGGGTCGTTAAAATGAGTTTGTGGGAAGGTTTGAGATTTGAAATATCTGTTTGGAGTGCTTTAAGCACTACCCTATGTAACGCCCCAGATTTGGAACTTGGTTACTGATACTTGAGATACTTGGAATTGTCGGAACCCGGGACATCCTTTATGGGATGTTGCTATAGACCCTGGATTTGAGGTAGTCTGCGTGCGTAGGACTGGTTTTTCAGGCGTACAAGCTTTGAGTATCTCGGCTGTACATGCTGGCTGAGAGTTAGTCCCCCAGTTGGACGACTCGTTCCCTAGTGACATGGTGAATTGAGGAATGGTTGTGCCATGTTGACTAGTCAAACAATCCCCCGGTTGGATTGTTTCCCCGGTACAACTAAATGTTGGTTATAATCATTTATATATTTTATTGTTATTATATTACATATTATTATACATATTTATACATATGAATATTCATTCGTTCTTGTTTCTCGGTAAGGATACTTGCTCGCCGGTCGTGCCAGTGGGTATGTTTTCGAGAGTTTAATCTTTCGGGACTTTTAAGTTTTGAATGGTGGGTTTGTGAAGTGTTGTTCACGGATTTCGGACTTGGTATCCGGTATTATTTTAGTATATGTTCATATACTTGCTTATGACGATTTTAAGATGCATTTGGAATTCTTGCATGATTTTCTAACGGTGGGGTGATACTACGTTGATTTATTAGAACTGAACATTATTTTTGTCCTCTCACAATTTTCTGTTTTGCGCCCCCCAGCCAGTAGTGACTGAGCTCCGCAGTCGAGCCGGATCGGGTGCTTCCGAACCTTGAGTCTTTGTAAGGACTCCTTCATCTTTCTTTTCCAGTGGAACTCTGTTTATGTTGTATTTGAATTTCTTTGATATGCTCTGTATCGCCCGCTTAGGGTTTGAATTGTGAGGCCGGAGGCCTTTGTTGTAAATTGTTTAACTGCTTTTAAAGTATGTTGCTGGTTGGGATTATTAATTGTAAATTTTGAGCAGGTTGAAATTTGGGAAATCTTCAATTTACAGGGCAGGGTCCGTCCCGGTTTCCGAGGAAATTCGGGGTGGGTCCTGTCAGTTTGGTATCAGTGCATTAGGTTCATTTTCCTTCGACTTTCGCGCTTTTGTTGCATTCTTGAACTAATGATTTTATGGTTTCCTTCGTGTAGAATCATGCATCCTCGACGTCCTAGAACGAGGGGTGGTCGTGTTCCGAGAGGGGGAGCAAATCCTCCATCTCCATCTCCATCACCCTCTCCACCTCCTTCACCTCCATCTCCACCATCTCCACCTGCTGAGGGACAAGATGGAGGGAATGGGCTCGGCTTATGACGTCTCTTATCTCAGTTCACCCGCACCGTGTCTACTGCCTTACAAGGGAGAAGGAATACGGAAGGCTTGGACATAAAGAGGGTAAAGGACTTGGGAGCAAAAGAGTTTTGTGGTGATGCTGATCCTGCTGAGGCTGATGCTTGGCTTACAGATTTCAAGCGGATATTTGAAGTTCTCCAGTATCCTGGTGGAGATAAGGTTCGCCTGGCCGCCTTCCTTCTAAAGGGGAATGCCTATCATTGGTGGAAGACAGTCCGTAGAGGGTATACTAACCCTGCTGCCATCTCTTGGGAAGAGTTTCAGAGGGCATTCTTTGATAAGTTCTACCCGCATACTTACAAGAATGCGAAGAGGTCTGAGTTTCTGCATCTGAGGTAGGGTTTCATGTCAGTGTTTGAGTATGAGCACAAATTTAATGAGCTGTCCCGGTTTGCACATGAGTTGGTAACCATAAAGGAAGACAAGTGCACACGTTTTGAAGAGGGTCTGTGGTTAGACATTCAGGCTGTGGTCACTGCTACTACATATCCTACCATGAGAGCCTTGGCCCAAGCAGCAGATAGGGTGGCCAAGACGTACAATCTGGGTGCAGGTATTGGTAGGCGTCGCAGGGACTCAGCAGGTTTTGGTGGGCCCAGTCAAGGTCCATCAAAGAGGGGTGGATCCAGCTCTAGTTCTGCCAGTAATGGTTAGTCAGGAGGACGTGGGCCTAGTTCCGGCAGTGGGACTCTCAATCAGCTTGGAGCCAGCACTCGGGACAACAATCGGTGGGCAGTACAACCAGGGACCCTCAGCGGCAGTTTATTGCGACTTGTTACAGGTGTGGGCAGGCAGGACATGTTAGGAAGGATTGCCCAAACCGTGGACAGGCTCGTGGCTCTAACCAGAGAGGCGGAGTGACATGTTTCCATTGTGGGCAGGTAGGGCACTATAAGAGTGCGTGCCCCCTCCTTACTGATGTTGGTACTATGGCAAAGGAGATTGGGGCCCAGCAGGGGCAAGGCAGTAGAGCTCAGGGTCAGACACAGAGTGGTCCATCGTCGTCTGCAGCGGGTTCGTCATCGAGTAGTGGAGTGCAGTCCACTTTTCGGGGCAGAAGTGGTAGGGGTCAGAGAGGCCAGTCTGAACGCTCTACTACGCAGGCCCGTGTATTCTCGATGACTCAGCACTGGTATGATCCCTATTTTTGGTTATTTTGCACGTGTTTTGATAGATCCTGGGGCCACCCATTCTTTTATTGCACATAGTTTCTTACCATATGCCAGTGTTAGACCGACACCCATGGCAGGAAGTTTTAGTATCTCGTTGCCTACAGGCGATGTTCTGTTTGCGGACATGGTTTTCAAGGGTTGTTATGTCCAAGTGGGTGATGCCATGTTGGAAGTCAATTTGATTCCTTTGGAGTTAGTTGACCTTGACATCATCTTGGGAATGGATTGGTTGGAAAAGCATTGTGCATCAGTGGATTGTTTTCAAAAAGAGGTTGTATTTAGAAGTCCTGGACAACCCGAAGTAGTATTCCGTGGAGAGCGTAGTGTTCTCCCATCTTGTCTTATCTCCACCATAAGGGTAAAAAGGTTACTCAAGAAGGGTTGTCTGGGATACTTAGCTCACATAATTGATACTCAAGGGTTCACTCTGAATCTGGAAGATGTTCCTATGGTTTGTGAATTCCCAGATGTCTTCCCAGACGATCTCCCTGGTTTGCCTCCCCAGAGAGAAACCGAATTCACTATTGAACTCCTTCCAGGCACGAATCCAATTCATCAAGCTCCTTATAGAATGGCACCAGCAGAGTTGTGTGAGTTGAAGATTCAATTGCAGGAATTGGTTGATCTTGGGTTCATTTGACCTAGTGTTTCCCCTTGGGGTGCACCGGTGTTGTTTGTAAAGAAGAAGGATGGAAGCATGAGGCTTTGTATCGACTACAGGCAGTTGAACAAGGTGACAGTGCGTAATCGATATCCTTTGCCTCGAATTGATGACTTGTTTGATCAGTTGAAGGGTGCCAAGTATTTTTCCAAGATTGATATGAGATCGGGATAACATCAACTCAGAGTACGAGAAGATGATATTCCCAAGACAGCATTCAGGACTCGTTACAGCCATTACGAGTTCTTAGTGATGCCTTTCGGGTTGACAAATGCTCCAGCAGCGTTTATGGATCTCATGAACAGAGTGTTCCGACCTTACTTGGATCGCTTTGTGATTGTGTTCATAGACAACATCCTTGTTTATTCCCGAACTGGTGAGGGTCATAAGAAACATTTGAGGTTGGTGTTGAAGACTTTGAGAAGAAAGCAGCTTTATGCCAAGTTAAGTAAGTGTCAGTTTTGGTTGGATAGAGTGGACTTCCTTGGACATGTGATTTCAGCAGAAGGAATCTATGTAGACCCTCGTAAAGTGGAAGCTGTTGTGAATTGGGTGCAACCCACAAGTGTAACAGAAATACGGAGTTTCCTGGGGTTAGTGGGCTACTATCGTCGATTTGTAGAAGGGTTCTCTTCTATAGCAGCACCTCTTACTCGGTTGACGAGGAAGGATGTTAAGTTTGAGTGGACGGAGGAGTGCGAGCAAGGTTTTCAGGAGCTGAAGAAGCGGTTAACCACCGCACCTATTCTGGCTCTTCCGGATAACTCGAGGAACTTTGTGATCTACAGTGACGCATCTTTACAAGGCCTGGGATGTGTTCTGATGCAGCATGACCGGGTGATTGCTTATGCCTCGAGGCAACTCAAGAAGCACGAGCAGAATTATCCTGTCCATGACTTGGAACTTGCTGCAGTGGTGTTTGCCCTCAAGATTTTGTGGTATTACCTGTATGGTGAGACGTGTCAGATCTTCATTGATCACAAGAGCTCAAGTACTTTTTCACTTAGAAGGAGCTGAATATGAGTCAACGTCGTTGGCTGGAATTGATTAAGGATTATGACTGTACGATTGAGTATCATCCCGGTCGAGCTAATGTGGTAGCTGATGCACTGAGTAGGAATGTTGGTGGGAGTTTACCTCATCTCAGAATGGCCTATCTTCCGTTATTGGTAGAACTGCGGAAGGATGGTGTGGATTTGGAAATGACTCATCAGGGAGGACTGCTTGCTAGTGTGCATGTGAGGCCTATTCTGGTTGAGCAAGTGATTGCAGCCCAGTTGGAAGATCCTAATCTTTGTGTGATAAGGTCGGAAGTAGAGAGTGGTACACGGATGGATTATGCAATAAGAAAGGACGGAGCTTTGGTGACTGGAACTCATCTTTGTGTACCTAAGAACAATGATGACTTGAGAAGAGAAATCATGGAAGAAGCTCACTGTTCCACTTACTCTATGCATCCTGGTAGTACTAAGATGTATCGGACTCTACGTGAGTACTACTCGTGGCCGCATATGAAGGGAGATATTGCTAAGTATGTGAGCAGATATTTGATTTGTCAACAAGTGAAAGCGAAACGGCAGAAACCATCTGGACTTATGCAACCACTTCCGATCCCTGAATGGAAGTGGGAGCTTATCACAATGGACTTCGTTTTCAAACTTCCATGTACTTCCAAAGGGCATGATGGAATTTGGGTGATAGTTGACCGACTCACCAAATCTGCCCATTTTCTACCTATAAAGGAAACCTATTCCTTGTCAAGGCTGGCAAAACTCTTTGTGGATGAGATCGTGAGGTTGCACGGAGCTCTTGTGTCTATTGTATCGAACAGGGATGCAAGGTTCACATCTCATTTCTAGAAGTGTTTACATGAGGCTATGGGTACCAAGTTACATTTTAGTACTGCTTTCCACCCACAGACTAATGGACAGTCGGAAAGAACCATTCAGACCTTGGAAGACATGTTGAGGTCTTGTGCATTACAGCTGAAAGATAATTGGGATACTCACCTTGCTTTGGTGGAGTTTGCTTATAACAACAGTTATCATTCGAGCATTGAGATGGCTCCGTATGAGGCTCTGTATGGGAGGATGTGTAGAACTCCTGTTCGTTGGAATAAAGTGGGTGACAAGAAAGTGGAAAAGGTAGACAGTATCCGAGCCACAACTGAGAAGGTGAAGATGATCAGAGAGAAGTTGAAAACCGCACAAGACCGACAGAAGAGTTATGCGGATAACAAGTCCAAGGATCTTGAGTTTGTAGTTGGAGATTGGGTGTTCTTGAAGCTATCTCCATGGAAGGGTGTGATGAGGTTCGGTAAACGCAGGAAGTTAATATATTGGACCTTATGAGATCACCAAGCGCATTAGACCAGTTGCCTATAGACTTGCCTTACCTACAGAGCTATCCCGGATCCATGACGTGTTTCATGTGTCCATGTTACGGAAGTACATGCCTGATCCTTCCCATGTTCTGGAGCACCAACCTATGGAGTTGAGTGAAGATTTGACGTACGAGGAGCAACCTGTACAGATCTTGGATAGAAAGGAATAGAGGTTGTGCTCCAGATCCATTCCTGTAGTGAAGGTGTTGTGGAGAAGTCAAACTGTTGAAGAGGCTACTTGGGAACCCGAGGCGCAGATGCGGGCCGAATACCCTTATGTCTTCAATTGATAGGTATGTAAATTTTGAGGACGAAATTTTTATAAGAGGGGGTAGGTTGTAACACCCCGACTCCAAATTATTCCTTATTTTAATTTAATTAAGTGAATTTACAGAATTGCCCTTAAGGTGAGGGTAATTTGGTCATTTTCTTATCCGAAATATTTTTGGGCCATGGGTGGTTTGGTTGCGTAGGTGGCTCTAAGAAGAATTCGTAGACAGGCGGCAGACTTGAATCGGAGTTATAACGAAGCTTTGGCGATCAAATTACCTTCGGTGGCAAAACCGTAAATAATTCGAAAAGGGTATTAGTAAAAATCAGATTTTTTCAATTTCACCTCACCTTTTCTCTCCCTCTCCCGTGCGTCTTCTCTCTCTCCTGCGAACTCTCTCCCCCATCACTGTTCACCCGAACGGAAACAGCCACCCCGCCGCCATATCTGATCACCCCAGCCTTCGAGACCGGTCCCGTTCGAATCGTAGTGAAGCCCCGATTTTGAACCATCCAAAATTCCGACCGAAAAGCTCAGAACTGCCGGCAGTTTTGACTGGTTCGAACTAGACTTTTCCGATTGTTGAGCCGCCGCCTCCGTCGTCCATTTCAGGTAAAATTGGTAGGGTGTCTCCCTCTTTTTACGTGTTCTAGCTGGCTGTTGCATAGGAATTGTTCAATTTGCTGTTTCGAATCCGATTTGAGAAGCTAGGTTTTGGCCGGTTTTCAATTTGAAATTTCAGCCAGTTCCCGTACGAATTGGACTTCGTGGTAGTTGATTAAAGTGATCCTGATCATGAGAAGAAGCTAGGGTAGGAAGGGTGAGCGTTGGTGTGGAGATTTTCCGTCGTCGGAAATTACTCTGCACACCAACGTACTGCAGGCGCATGTGGCGGTGCGTGGGCAAGAGTGGTGGAGCTGAATTTTGTCCTAATGAGATCCTTAGGTTGTCACGAGCGCGTAGGATTTCGCGGCTCTCAATTTCGAGGTCGTTTGACTATTGAACGGATTATCGCATATTGTGCGTTATCCGGGTTTGATATATTCCGACCATTGGATCGTTTCCAAATTGAAGTATATTGCTCTAGACCTTCCTAAGATCGTGTAGGAATTCGCGGATCGTGAATCGGAGCCCCGGATGTTCCGCTTCAATAGCTTAAAGTTTACGTTTTACGATAACCGTCCGATCGTAAGCGATCTAACCGTCCGTTTTGGACCAAACTTGCAGGACGTGCATCTTAGACCTCGTAAAACCTTTAGGAACTCCTGGATTGAAAAACAGAGGTCGTGGGTCCCGTGGGCCCGGTTGACCCAATTTGTGAAGTTTGACCGCTCGGTGGACCGAATGTCTCTCGAGGCTTTTCCATCGTCCTGTTTGGGTAGTTGGACCTTAGAACGTCTCTTTCCGCGTACACTCACTAGAAACCCGGGAAACTAGGTTTTTAATTCAAAATTTTGTTTTGAAGCGCTTGATGTTAATCGCATGTTCGTTTTCTGAAATAGGTACTCCGACCACGCATACGCAGTAGGCGGGGCCCTCTCAGGGTCAAGCAGCATGGGACTACTTGTGAGTGGACTTTGTTTTTAACTAATATGCACGGTTTTACGATGGGAAAATTTATGCATAATGTTTAATGGTATATTTGGATATATTATTATTTATTCAATGGTTGAAATTGATATTTTTATGAAGTATTGGCTATGGATGGGGTGCTTCGGGTACTTGGGTTGTTAAAATGAGTTTGTGGGAAGGTTTGAGTTTTGACATATCTGTTTGGAGTGCTTTAAGCACTACCCTATGTACCTCCCCGGATTTGGAACTTGGTTACTGATACTTGAGATACTTGGAATTGTCGGAACCCGGGACATCCTTGATGGGATGTTGTTGTAGATCCTGGATTTGGGGTAGTCTGCGCGCGTAGGACTGGTTTTTCAGGCGTACAAGCTTTGAGTATCTCGGATGTACGTGCTGGCTGAGAGTTAGTCCCCCAGTTGGACGGCTCGTTCCTTAGTCACATGGTGAATTGACGAATGGCTCTGCCATGTTGACTAGTCAAACAATCCCCCGGTTGGATTGTTTCCCCGGTACAACTAAATATTGGTTATAATCATTTATATTTTTTATTATTATTATATTATATATTATTATACATATTTATACATATGAGTATTCATTCGTTCTTGTTTCACGGTCGTGCCAGTGGGTATGTTTTCGAGAGTTTAATCTTTCGGGACTTTTAAGTTTTGAATGGTGGGTTTGTGAAGTGTTGTTCACGGATTTCGGACTTGGTATCCGGTATTATTTTAGTATATGTTCATATACTTGCTTATGACGATTTTAAGATGCATTTGGAATTCTTACATGATTTTCTAACGGTGGGGTTATATTACGTTGATTTATTTGAACTAAACTTTATTTTTGTCCACTCACAATTTTCTGTTTTGCGCCCCCTAGCCAGTAGTGACTGAGCTCCGCAGTCGAGCCGGATCGGGTGCTTCCAAACCTTGATTCTTTGTAGGGACTCCTTCATCTTTCTTTTCCAATGGAACTTTGTTTATGTTGTATTTGAATTTCTTAGATATGCTCTGTATCGCCCGCTTAGGGTTTGAATTGTGAGGCCAGAGGCCTTTGTTGTAAATTGTTTAACTGCTTTTAAAGCATGCTGCTGGTTGGGTTTATTAACTGTAAATTTTGAGCAGGTTGAAGTTTGGGAAATGTTCAATTTACAAGGGAGAGTCTGCCAAATTTTTTGTAGAAAGTCTCGGTCTTTAGTAAGTGGGCCCGGCATCGGGGTGATGTCGGTAATTAGGCAGGGTCTGTCCAGGTTTCCGAAAAAATTCGGGGCGGGTCCTGTCATAAAGCCTATACCTGTTTTGTCACCATTTGGCTTACCCATTTCAATCATTCTGTAAAGTTTTTCAATTCCTATGATTAATCTGTGCAGTTTCTCCTCAGCTTCCTTGAGGTTTTCCTTAAAAAAGTCTTTCTCAGCAAGTAAGTTGTTGACTTGGGATCGAATAAATGTTTCAGTCCTCTGCCACTCATCCTCTTTTTTTTGCACTTTGATCTTGAGTCCATCATTTTGTTTCTTCACTTGTCAAAGTTAAGATACAATTCCTTGTACCTTTCTATGGTTTCTTCAATATCTACGTCCTCCTCATCTGAATCATCATATTCATCATTGTTTTCAAGGGCAACAAAAGCAATCTCTTCCTCCTTAACCTTGGACATATCTAACTCACTCTCACTCCAAGAATTATAAGAGGCTTTCATGGCTTTCTTCTCCTCTTTTTGTTTAGATAGTGTTTGCACACTCTTTGGGTTCATGTCCATACCTGAGCATGCATAACACTTCCTTTCTTCAGACTTGGGAATGAATCTTTGAGACCCATCTTTTGACGTCTTGTTTATAGAAGATCTTGTACCTGAAGCACTTCCTTTAGAATTTTTCTTCTTCAGTAGCTTTTGAAAATGATGAGTGATTAAGGCAAGTTGCTTCGGATCAATCTCATTACAATCATCATCTTCTTCTTTTATAACTTTCATGCTAAATTCTTGTTGGCCTTCTTTACAGGACGCAACTCTGACTCATATAGGTTTGCAAGGCTCCACTAAGATCAGCAAGAGATAAAGTATTTATATCTCTTACTCTTCTATGGCAGTCTGCTTGGGACGAAGTCTGACAGGCAATGATCTCAAAATTTTTTCTACTACTTCCAATTCTGGTATAACTTTTCCCAAGCTTGCAACTATTTACTATCCCAATAATTTTTTCATAGAATTCAACATAAGGTTCTTCCTCTCCCATTTCGAGTTTTTCAAACTGTGATATAAGTCTTTGCAGCTTCAATTTTCTGACCTTGTTATTCCCCTTGAACAATTATAAGGTTATCCCATGCTTCCTTTGATGTCTTGCAATTTCTGATATGTGCAAACTGTTCGGAAGATATAGCAACAAATATGGCATGTATGCCCTTCTGATTATAAACACTCATAGCCTTTTCTTCAGCAATCCATTCTATCTTAGGCTTGGGAATTTGAAATTCACTAACCACAACATCTTTCTCTTCTACACCATCTTTTGTCTCAATCTTCCGTTTCTCAATAGTTCTCTCAGTCTTGGTAGGTGCAGCATATCCTTCCAAAACTAGATCCCAAACATCATCTCCTTGTGCCCAGATATAGGCCTGAATCCTGGCTTTCCATTCTCCATAGTTTTCACCATTGAACTGAGGAGGATGCGAAGAAGACCCATATTGTCGTTCCATCCTAAGTAACCCCTAGGATCTCTCTAAAATCTTAGAGACCTGCTCTGATGCCAATTGAAATCGTGCCTCAAGTAGAGTAAATAGATAACCGGAATATGATTGGACAAGGATGTCAATTCCAAATCTAATTAATAAATCTTGTAGCAGAAGTAAATTAACACAAGGATTTTTGTACCCAATGGTACGAGGAAAAAACCCAACCGGGAAAAACCTCTAGAAATCCACTAAGAAGGGACTATTACAAGACTCAAGAAGATAAACTATAAACAAGAATCTATCCAATACTTTTGTCTTGCCTTACTCAATCCTTGCTTGAACTCTCTCAAATTCAAGATCCTTATGAACAAGCATGCCCTTCACACAGCTTCCAATATGGAATATGAAATATGAAGATGCAAACTAGAATTAAAAAGCTTCACAAAGTTGCTTTATCATTCTAATTTTTCATGAATTCACCTTTGCTTCTCTCAATATAAATCTCTAAAATCAGTTTTTGCATAAGTGAGTAACAAAGGTCTTCAAGCTTTGCTTTATATCAACAGAAATCACGTTCCAGAAAGAGTAGGAAAAAGTAGAATTGGTTTTAACGTGAAAAAGAGGAAAACAATTTTGCTAATAAAACTAAATCACAAAATATAGTTTTCCTAATATGATATGCAAATGTAAATTACCTTGTAGACATACCCTTGATCTGCTCAATCTAGATAAGTCTTATGGTCCAAGTTAATTTTCCTAAAACTAGGCCTAAATCTACACAACAAGGACACAATTACAAGTCTAGGAAATTAAGCCAATTCCTAAGTAAATTCACATTTACATTGTAGAGCCAAAAATCAAGCTCCCTTAAAAAACTCTCTTCCTTATTAAGAGCAACTCCACCCATTTGCCCTTAGCCATGGCAAGGGGGGGAGCTAGGGCAGCCACTATTCACGTGAATAGTAGTTGCCCTTGCAAAATCCGAATTTTGTGTTTCCACCCGTTGCCCTAGCTAAGGGCAGTTACTATTCATTTTTTTGTTTTATTCACAACTTTTTTTACCTCAATAATTAATTTACAAATTTATAAATAACCCAATCCTAGACATGTATTTATAAAAAACCCAAGCACTATTAAACATAGAAACACACCCAAAATCAACCCCCAATGTCAACTTTTTGGGTGTGTTTATAAATGTGTTTTGAGTGTGTGTAATGATGGGTTTTGGGTGTGTTTATATGTTTAAATAGTGCTTGGGTTTTTTTATAATTTCAACCCCCCATTTTTGGGTGTTTTAGTGAAACTCCCTAATTAATTTGGATAATATTTTCGGATAAGATTTTCGGGTTCCTACGTGTCAATACTATTCATATCTCATAATCGGATAAAATTTTTCAATTTCAAATTTCAGATAAATTATAAAAAAAAAGGCTGGTATTTATAGAAAAAAATTCATTAATTTTTGGGTATTTTTTTAAAAAATTTTCCGAATTTTTTCCAGTATTTTATTGCAAAAAAATTGGCTGCCGTTGGATTGGAGGAAAAAATCAGATCGGAGAGCCCAGACGACGCCACGTGGCAACAGGAAAAAAAATCAAATCAGCGAGGTACTGTAGTGATACTGTAGCGGGGGTACTGTAGCAGTACTGTAGCGCTACAGTAACCCCCCTCGTTTTGGACCTCAGGTAAGACTTGCCTTCGGGCCAGCCCGAGGAGGTGGGTCCCACACCCCGGGCCTGGGCTGCTCCGCTGGAAAGCCATTTTTTTTTTTCCCCCCTAGCCTCGGGCTGGGCTGCACGGGTGGAAAGGCTCTAAGGAAGTGACGTCTACGAAATGTTGTACCCTCCTTTTTACCAAAACAAGTCTGCCCTGAAACTCCCCCAGCTAGCAACTAATCATTGGCTTTATAATAAGAAAAAAATCATTTGGACAGAAAGACTACAGCTGGCAAAATAAATGAGGTGGTAGTTTTTAAGATGACTAGTCATTCATGTTGACTAGTCATATCCTAATGCAGATTAATACGCGCAATGCATTCTTTACCTTGAGAGTTTCATTGAAAGTTGCCACATTTGAACACAGCCACAAAGCCATCTTGATACTATAATAACCTAGTCTAAATATAATGAGCTTGATTGGTTACATATGAGTTTACAAGTTTGTGAAGAAAAGCTAAAACATTATAGCTTAAAAAACCCTGAAACATGTTACCAACCTTTACGTACACCATATCCTCACATTGCATGTTCTCGCAAGGCAACTCATCTAGTTCTGTTGTATTGTTTTCCGCATCATATGTAGAACTAAAGCTCTTCTTCTCCCAAGTAGTTGGGGTCCACTGACATTGGTAATTGTCTGAAGTCAATTGTAGCTTGTTGATTGCTTTGTCTTTGCTTCAACGTAATGCACAATGGAATCTTATAGGAGCTTAAAATACTTTCAGTAATAAAAAATTTCACGTCATCATCATCAACTATATCTACAGGCCAAGCATTTTTCGTTGAATCATATATAACTTTCATAGTTATTTCATACTTATTTGGGTCCAGATTTGTAATGTCATACACTTTATTCCGAAGTTCCTCTAATGTAATTTTCTCTGGAACAAGTACTCCTTTAGTTTTGCCATTTGTGTACGTTGAGTGAACCCAGCTCCCTCCATAGCTAATTAAAATTGTCAATCTAGACATGGTACTGAAAAGTAAGCCGAAAAAAGTTAATAAAAAATAACAGACGCATTGAATAACAATATTCTGACCAGTGTCAATACAAAATAAAAGTGAGAAAGCTACTTAACTACGGAACAAAAATGAAATTAGACAAGCTACTTAGCTATGGAGCAAAAATGAAAACAAAACGATAGCTACGATAATATCAAATATAAATTTCATACTAATACTATTTAATAAGTTAGGATGAAAATATAAAATGTATATATAGAAGATTCCTGACATAGCACCTCCAGAACATTGCCCACATACTAAAAACTACAAAGCAAAACAAAAACTTGAATACACTATATATAAAATAATAATTATGCAGCAAACTCATAGTAAATGACCATATTAAACTATATATAAAATAATATAGCCTTGCAGATTGAAAATGTCCTAAAGAAAACATTTTCAATTTCGCCCCTTCTTAGTGCTTGAATTTCAATAGATAGTTATATCATAAGATTCAACTATCTATAAATCAAGGGCAACACCGGATCCTTGATCTCTAGTGAACATAAATTATTTCTTCTCCAATACAGTATGTAGAAAAAATATAATTTTTTATATATTAAAAATGCCCATATTGGAAAAAATAATAATAATAATTTGACTTTCACGGCTTTCGATATTTTGTTTATATAACACATCATTTTATTTGAATTATGCTCTTAAAAATAGAAAAATTATCAAATTATTTTTTATTTGTATCCAAAGCCAAGCCCATCAATTCCACCACTTGTATCCAAGCCCAGCAACCCCTCTTGAGGTTTTCGACTTTTTCACAAAACTGCTTGAGGTGTTAGAAATTACAAGAACATCCCCTAAGGTTTTAAATTGTTTTCACGAAACTACTTTTCATTGATTTTTCATCCAAAGACTGATGATTTTATATCCAAAAAAAAATCCAAATAACAATGTTGGTCTTTGAGATTAGATTGAATATACTTCATTGAGGTTAATTTTATCATTTGCATAAGTTTTTTTTTTCTTCAATAAAATCACCAATTTTTGAACAATAAACAAAAAGGGGTTTTGTGAAAACAAACTGAAACCTCAGGGGGTGTTCATGTAATTTTTGAGACCTGAGAAGGTTTTGTGAAAACACAATAAACCTTAAGGGGTGTTAGTGTAAATAAATCTTTTGCTTATAAAACCTAAGGAAAAGTTTAATTTTATTTTTTCCTAAAACAATTATAATTTAATAAATGAGCTTTAAACGGTTTGGGCTTTAGGTTGGCACGGCCTATGGGCCTCGGACCGGCCTTGCCCATTGGGTCAAATTATCCCATCTCGACCCGTCTAAATACGAGCCATGCCGTGTTGGCCCTTATTTAATTGTGCCAGACTCATACTATGCCCGGGCCGATCCAGTCCATTTAACACCTCTATGTGCTAGGCAAATGCCAAATACAACTCATTCCAAAAACACAAAAAGATATCCCCATCCAAAGTACAAGCCAAGGAAGCAACAAAGGATCACCGAACTAAACAAGGGGTTAGGGGAAAGTAGTCTGTTATGCCTATGTGTTTAACCCTTATTATACGGTTTTCTTAGGATTTATGGTTTTCTTATTTTCTCTCGTTTTCGTATGATTTGCCTACATGTCATCTAATAGTATGGTTATTGCAGAGAGTAGATGAGAGTATGATTTGCCTACATGTCATCAATTCCTAGTTCCTACCATGTCAAAGAAACGAAGAAGCAACTAAAAAGAAAAAGAGACGACGAAAAATTACAAGAAAGACGTAAGGAAATGGCAGAAAAGGAACTGCATTGCAAAAAGAACAAGAAGAAATATTACCTTTGAGTTGCAGTACTTTTTTCCCAATTTGCCAATCCAAGAATAAGAACAAGAAGAAATATTAATACCCTCCAGTTGCAGTAGTTCTTGCCAATTTTGCCAAACCCAACACGCCCGCCTTTGGTTGAAAAAATTTTATTGTTAGCAATTTTGATGGTTCCACCCCTCGTTGTCATCAATATTGTTTGAATAACTTCGTTGTTGATGTCCAAAAACACAACTTCACTGTCTTCACTTGTGATAATTTCGTTGCCAGAAATGTTCCAGGTCTCGTTGCTTTCAGCATCACTATTTTCACTTCTTGTTGCCATCTCCTCGTGCAGTTGTTGACTTTCATTTTGGAGACCCATCTTATATTGAGAAGATGGGAAGTCTCGGAATGCAAAAATAACAATGGAAAGGGTCTATGGGCAAATATTTCAAAACAGCTAGTCAAAAGTCTCCGAGATGTAACTTGCATTCTACATTGAGAAGAGTAGGTGAAATGGTTCATATTAAATAGTTTTTCGTTGACCAATTACAAACCTTCTTTGACAAAAAAAGAACAAAAAAAAAAAAAAAAAACCTTCTCCGACTTTATTGGAAGGGTGCAATTGGCTGAGAGAGAAGATAAATGTGGGACCAAAATAAACAAGTCCAACTAATTTGCCATTCGTTTGTTGATATATCCAAAAATTTATAACCCCAAGTCAGAATCCGCAGAAAAATATATCCAACAAATTGATATAAAAGAAAAGAAAAGCAAATCAAAACAGGCAATGCCCAGAAAACAATAAATTTCAAATTAAAAACAGGCAATGCCCTGACAAAGATATCTTAAAGGCATCTTTAGTTTCTGAATCTATATTTCATTGTTCCAAATAGATTCTATCCTACGCATCTGGTGTCATGGAGTGAAAAGCTTAAGCTGCTATTACCATGAAGATTAGCTGCTAGTATTGCTAAGCTGAGTAGAGCTGCTTCCTAAATAGATATAGGAATTCTTGAGCTTGTTTGTTTGTGTAAAGACCCATTTTTTTAAAGTATATATTTATTTTCAGGAGGAAATATTTCGCTATTTATATATTTTATAAATTATATATGTATTGTTATATTCATTTTATATTTATATCTTTCATTATTGGTTTTCATATACAACATATATACATATATATAAGAACCCATATCTTCACTACTAGAAAGTTGGAAAGCGACGACAGTAAAATGACGACGGCAGAACTAAATACTGTCGTTGTGTTTAGAAAGACGACATTGACAGAAAACCGACGTGGATTAGTAACTTAAACACTTTTAAAATTGAGATCCATTGGGGTATTTTTAAAACATGATGCCCACAATTTATGCAAGGTCTAAAATATCGGTAGTCCAAAAACATGGAAATTTCAATGGAAATACCGGAATATTATCGATATCGATAAAAATTGAATAAAAACCACGGAAATTGTAAGAAAAACTTGGAAATTTTTATTGAAACTTTGGAGAATGCTTATTTAGTCAATTATCTATTAGTTTATCACAAAAAATTGGAAGGAAATGCATTGCATGATGGATTTAACTAATTGAAGTTGATCATATAGCGAGCTGACAAACACTGTGAGTGTAGAAAATATGTAGTAATTAATGAAAGAAGATTAAACACACCACAATCATTTATATATACTGATTTACTACAATATTTTACATTTTATACATTGCATGGTAAGATACATAAGTGACTTAGTACCACATAGAGTTCCTATGAGGTTCAAATTTTTCACTATCTTCATCATCTCTATGTGTAGAGTAAGTGTATTGTGAAGAGTAGTCATCAAATGATAAATCCCCAAAATAGTTTTGCGTGTAATTGTTAACATGTCACCCATATGGATCCGAGATTGGTTGACGTTGTCCATGAGCAAAATCATTTGAAGATTGAGTCTCAGATTCTTTCCATGAGCTGCTCGATTCCTTCCCAAAAGGAATGGGATATGAAGGGTAGGGAAATAGTTGGTTATGAGTATAATCATAGTTACTACTTCCCACTCCAATAAAGTATGAAGTTATAGATAACGAATCATCTTCTTGACTTGACAAAATCGCCTTGCCTATTTCTCTACGAGTATAGTCCTTCCCTATGGCACCAATTCCTGGTCCTCCCCGCCTACTCCCATGGTCCTCATCTTGTGTTGCATGCGTGAAGTTTGCCTCACCAGTAAAGGGGCTCATAAATCCAGGAGGGGGTCCAACGTAGTTTCCATATCCACCACTACCTCCAGCTCCACTATATCCTTCATCATTCCCACCTCCAGTGGTAGGCGAGTCTCCTGATCTTGTACTAGAGCTATCATTAGTATCAGCAGGATCTTGTGGTTGTGTAGGATTGGAAGAAGGAGGAATTCCTCTATTTCTTGGTCTTGGGCGCAAAAGTTCTTCCAAAGAGTCAATGCTGCTAGATCCCACCTCCTCCTCTAATACTCTTTCTACATTTATCCCTTCATTACGTTCTTCTTCAGCAACTCTTAGAGCTAGGTAGCCTTCATCATCATCTACATGAAGAGGTCTTATCCATTGATAAAGTTGGTTACCCTCTGTATCATCATCTTCAGCAGCAATATCAAACACATTTAGTGGGTCACCACGGTCGACATGATCTCTTTCTGCTTCCTTATCTCGAATTTGAAGCTTCATGTTGTAGTAGCAATAAACTAATTTTTCCAACCTACTATGAACCAACCTATTTCTTTGCTTTGTGTGGATGAATGCAAATGTACTCCAATTTCTTTCACAAGCAGATGAGGAAGCTGTTTGTGATAATACTTTGATTGCTAACTTTCTCATAGTTGGTGCATCAGTCCCATACATGATCCACTATTCAGCTATAATGAAAAATAATGTTGATAAGTCTAATAACTCCAACAAATTCTATTATAAACTGATAGTTAAATATGTTTACACTCACTAGGAGACATTTTTGTTCGAGCAGCAACTGATGTTGGTTCTCCAAAAGTTCTTCTTGCATCTTTAAACCATGTTAGCTGAATTCAATAAATCGTGTTAGTGTAATCCAAAAATGCAATTATTATAATTTAAGTAATTGTGTACCTCATTTCCAAATTGGCCAACTGCTAGTGATGCAGGGTCTAATTTAGAATATGCTTTGTGTACAGCTGTTTGTGCCTAATAAATCACGGTCATAAACTGATTGAAGGGACTTCCTCTCGGTCCTGGCGCCTATCATTTCATTAAGCATTTCCTTTCCTGAAAACAAAAGAAAAGCTGCAAAGGCAGAATCCTCTTGGCCTCGCGACCGCAGTTTTGAAGGCCGAAGACGAAGACTGTAAAAGACACGGCCGAAGAAGCTGTGGTTAAATCGCCACGTGGCCTCAGGGTCCCACGCCCCATTTAATGAAGTAATGCCTCTGACTTTTGCAGCAAACCGATTAGTCCCAAGAAGCATTTAATGCACAAGGGAAGAAGGGAAGTGACTGAAGTCAGGATTTGGTGATGGAAATCAGGGTGGTTAGGCGCAGACATTCTCACAAGTAATCTTACGACTTGAGGTCAGATCACCAACCACCAGACCAGGGCATTAAATGTGTTCCCACGGCCAAGGGGGCAGAACCCATGATCAGGGCGGTGGCCTAGATTTACCGAGATTTATGGGAGTCACACCACCATGCTTCGCACCCTCAAACCACCATGCTTCACGATCCCAAATGCTGATTTGATTACCCACTTGCCCCGATCAGGCTCCACCACGCAGGTCTTTTCAGCCTCGATTGTCCCTCCAGGACTCCTCCTATAAATACTAGGCCCATGACTACATTCAAAAGGTTCAAACACCAAACCAAAAGCCTCCTACGGAACAAATTATATTTTCCTGTAATGCACTTTCAATACCTTTATTTGCTTTCCTAGGAGTAGTGGTAGATTGTAAGGAAAATCCATTCATCAATATATCATACGACCCTTGATTTTCAAGGCGCCGGAGCACCATCTCTGTTATCGTCTCATTCACCCCATATATCATACAACCGTCGCTCTCTGAGCAACGCGCCGGAGCACCGCATAAAACCCGCCACCAACACCACCACTAAACGGCCTTGTAGCTTAGGTCGTGAACCTGACAGCCGAGATCAGTTCCTCTCTCGGCCATAATTGTTTGATTAGGAGTCGAACGCAAAACAGGCGCAACATTTAACCATCTTCTACCCGAACCTCATCATCATCTCGACGCACGGTAGACCGTGCTGGCACGCCCTCGTACAACCGCACTGCATCCAAAAGAAGGACGTCACGTGTTGACGCACATCCCCTCGGCCCGGAGCACCAGGCCGTGAGATTCGCAACAGCCAACACTTTTGGCACGCCCGAGCGAGTTCCTCATTATCTCTTTGGATGACGAGGTCATTTTCCTTCAAACGGGCCATGGCAGGTTGGACTTGTTCTTTTATCGCTGACAGCTCTTGCTCGAGCGAGCATCCCTCGGTCATCCTCATGTTTGCCTCAGCGTACCGACCGATCATCTCCTCGCCCTCGGCCAAGCGAGCCTGTAACTCATCCAACTGAGCCAAGTCAAGCAGACCCAACGCCATGGCCGTATCCAGACAGGACATGAACTCCATGAATGCCTCAGCAGTGGTCATTTGGTGAACCCCAAGGAATAGGAACTCTCAGAGCCTTTCAATGACGGCCCTGGAATCCTCGTCCAAAGGAGTCGAGGCCGAGCTGCCTCTTTCTTCATGGAGACTGGCATATAACTCCTCGAGATCATCGGAGGAGTTGGTCCCCTAAAAATGGAAAAGGAGATTTAAATGGGAAACAACCAGCTAGGACATGAGGAATGACAAGGTGAAAATCTAAATACTCACTTCAGCGGCCGACGGCGGGCCGAGAACTTCTGCAACCACGAGCTCGATCAGGATTGTCGAAGAGATAGGCGGCGGGCTCGGCGCGTCAGTAGCTATAGCCTCAACCCCTGCAAGCTCAGTCACTACTGTCGAGTCATGGGAAAGGGTGTGGCTTGAAAAAGGGGTAAAAAGAAATCAAGGAAGAGTACTTATGGTCACGAGAGGGGCTTCACTCACGATCACAGAAGGGACTTCTTCCTCGTCCTCGGCCTTCGAAAGAACAAGGAGGACCCTTTTCCTCGGCCCCTCTAGCATCGCCGTCTCAACAGTGACACTTTCTGCTGGCGCTGCCTCAGCTGCTGCAGCCTCAGTGCTTGAGGCCTCTCAATCCCTCTTGCGACCCGGGGCTATGTGTACAGGGAGAAGTAAAACAGGTAAGAAGCAAAATAAACAAAAAAAGAAAAAAGGCTTACCAACGGCAGCGATCGGTCGAACCGGCGGGGCGGATGGCACGGTCCTATGCTCCAAAGTTTTTCTCGCCCCCACTGCAGCCGGCGCTCTGGGGGTTGGGGCCTCGGTTGAAGTCACGATCGCTGCTCTGACCGAAGAAGGGGCCGCCACCCTGGGTACGGCCGCGGCTGGCATACTCGGTCAAGGAAGCACGGCCGAGGCCTTCTTCCCCTTACCAGCCTTGGGGATAAGGGGGTCCCAATCTGCATTCTTCAGAGCCCCCCTCACGGCCGCTTCAATAGGCCGAATGAATCTGGCCGAGATGCACTCCTCGTACCAGACTATTCCATCCTCGTCATACGCATTACGACGCAACCAAGGCATCAGAGTGACGAAGGTCATCCCCTTTTGAAGTTGGAAGGAAATGCCAGCCACGCCGTGCTGCTGGGCGACGTCGGCCCTCAAAGACGAGAGCTAGTTGGTTGACAACGGGGGAAGTGGTGCCATCTGGATCAAGCCGAATTGCGCCGCCACGAAGTTCGGCAGATAAACCTCAGCCCCAGCCTTGGACAGGCAGAAGTGAAGGTCGCGCGCGACCAGGAAGGAGCCCCAGATGTCCTTTAGATCGTTCTCCGTTTCGCTGTCAGGAATCACGGAGAGGTCGTGCGCTAGGAACAAAGGGTACGGCCGAGTATGGCACACCTGGAACTACGACCCGGTCCTCTCGACCAAGCCGTAGAAAAATTTGTAACAGAAAGTCGAGGTGTTATGCTTCCTGGGGGCCCGGGCGAATGAGTTGGCCAACGGCTCGGTGTCAGCAATGTTGACCGCCCCCCTCAGCTTTGGAAAGTAAGCTTGCAGCCAGAACTGGAAGGCCTATAGTGGACCACCGTGCTTCGGCTTCATCCCATCCGTGACGACGTCGTGAAGCATACGGCAGATATAACCAAGGAGGAATGGGCCGAGCGCCAGCCTTCCGGCCTGCACGAGATAGTCAGCCAGGTGGACGAACTCCAAGGTGACTTTGTTCGCCTGGGTGCAAAACATGAACTTGCATAGCCAGTACAGCAAGAACGCAGCATGCTCGACCTCGCCCAAGGGAGCGATGGAGTCATCATCGGCGCTGTCTTCCACGCCGAAGTTGCTGTAGATGCTGGAGTAGTTGAGCATGTTCTTCGCCTTACTCCCAACAAACTTGGCGACTGTAGGCCATGTGGCCTTAAAACTCCATTCAGCCTCAAGGGCCACCAGAGCGGCATTTACTTCCACGCCAAGGGGGGAGAGGCCAAATAGGGCGGCCATGTCTAGAACAGTCGGCGTCATCATGCCAAACCGGAGGTTCATAGTACTTGTGGCCGACGACTAGAAGTATAGGGCCGTGGCCAAGAACGATCGGTCCATGACGAGCGGCCGATCGAATAGCTTGATCAAGTGGTAGATGCCTTGATCCTTCCATTGCTGGCCGAAGCAGTGCTCCATCCTCAGCAGCCATTTTTCCCAGTCTGGGGTCGAGGTTGGCCATTGGGGCTGCGGCCTGGCGACATTCCAATCTTAGAAGTCCCCCCCGTCAAAGGCCGAGAGGTCCACCAGATTGTTCTTCAAATGAGCCACCAGCCTCTCTAGAATCCCGCCATCTACAGAGGGGCCGAGGACGCAGGAGTCGGTGGCGGCGCCGTCGTCATCAGTCCAAGGTGTGACGATATTGGGTAAGATTGAGCCCTGGATTTCTCGGCAAATGTCTTTAAACTCAGTCTAGAAGACTTGGGACTGAGCTTCAACAGATGTAGAGGTGCTGGAGGCCTTTGAAACAGGTTAAAGTAAGGGTATGTTGAAAAAGTCGAAGGAAGGGTGATGAACACGAAGAACACCAGGGAGCCGAGCACTCAGAAAAAGGGACGAAGAGTTCGAGAGTTTTCGAAGAAATACAGAAGAAGTGACTGGAGTCGTTGGTTACTAACAAAGGGGATAACTGGGCGGAAAGAGGTGGAGTGCTGAAATATGAGGTTCGAAAGGGTTGAAGAATTGAGAGAAGAGTTTGGCAGAGTTTGGGCGTCTGAAAATTCTGAAAGCGTAAGGAAGGAATGAAGAAGGACATGCTTTTATATTGGCGCTAGAATTAGAAACGAAAGGGCGTGGCTCTCTTGAGAGATGTAACGGCCTGACAGCGTGCTCAAGGGGCGCGATGACGTGTCAAAAGCCCAGAGGCCGTCGTTTCATTTGACGAGACGAAATGACTGCTCGCGCAAGTCTGGGCAATGATGGCCTGCAAGACGTGCTTGCGCATTTAATGCGCTGACTGACCTACGCATTTAAAGCGCCAACTGTCAATCACATTAGGAGAAATGCAAAGGGTCCATCCCTTGCAATCCATTCGGCCTCTGCCCAGGCCGCGACCGAAGAATCCAGGGATGTGGGGGCAATGTTTGTGCCTAATAAATCACGGTCATAAACTGATTGAAGGGATTTCCTCTCGGTCCTGGCGCCTATTGTTTCGTTAAGCATTTCGCCTTCTTGAAAACAAAAGAAAAGTTGCAAAGGCAGAATCCTCTCGGCCTCGCAACCGCAATTTTGAAGACCGAAGCCAAAGGCCGCAAAAGACACGGCCGAAGAAGTTGTGGTTAAATCGCCACGTGGCCTCAGGGTCCCACGTGGCCTCAAGTAATCTTACGACTTGAGGTCAGATCACCAACCACCAGACCAGGGCATTAAATGCGTTCCCACGGCCAAAGGGGCAGAACCCATGATCAGGGCGGTGGCCGAGATTTACCGAGATTTATGGGGGTCACACCACCATGCTTTGCACCCCCAAACCACCATGCTTCACGATCCCAAATGCCGATTTGACTACCCACTTGGCCCGATCAGGCTCCACCACGCAGGTCATTTCAGCCTCTATTGTCCCTCCAGGACTCCTCCTATAAATACTAGGCCCAGGACTACATTCAAAGGGTTCAAACACCAAACCAAAATCCTCCCACGGAGCAAATTATATTTTCCTGTAATGCACTTTCAATACCTTTATTTGCTTTCCTAGGAGTAGTGGTAGATTGTAAGGAAAATCCATTCATCAATATATCATACGACCCTTGATTTTCAAGGCGCCGGAGCACCATCTCTGTTATTGTCTTATTCACCCCATATATCATACGACCGTCGCTCTCTGAGCAACGTGCCGGAGCACCGCCTAAGACCTGCCACCAACACCACCACTAAATGGCCTTGTAGCTCAGGCTGTGAACCTGACGGCCGAGATCAGTTCCTCTCTCAGCCACAATCGTTTGATTAGGAGTCGAACGCAAAACAGGCGCAACATTTAACCATCTTCTACCCGAACCTCATCATCATCTCGACGCACAGTAGACCGTGCTGGCACGCCCGCACACAACTGCACCGCATCCAAAAGAAGGAAGTCACGTGTTGACTCACATCCCCTCGGCCCGGAGCACCAGGTCGTGAGATTCGCAACAGCCAACATCAGGGCGGTGGCCGAGATTTACCGAGATTTATGGGGGTCACACCATCATGCTTCACAACCCCAAACCACCATGCTTCGCTATCCCAAATGCCGATTTGATTACCCACTTGCCTCGATCAAGCTCCACCACGCAGGTTTTTTCAGCCTTGATTGTCCCTCCAGGACTCCTCCTATAAATACTAGGCCCAGGACTACATTCAAAGGGTTCAAACACCAAACCAAAAGCCTCCCACGGAGCAAAATATATTTTCTTGTAATGCACTTTCAATACCTTTATTTGCTTTCCTAGGAGTAGTGGTAGATTGTAAGGAAAATCCATTCATCAATATATCATACGACCCTTGATTTTCAAGGCGCCAGAGCACCATCTCTGTTATCATCTCATTCACCCCATATATCATACGACCGTCGCTCTCTGAGCAATGCGCCGGAGCACCGCCTAAAACCCGCCACCAACACCACCACTAAACGGCCTTGTAGCTCAGGCCGTGAACCTGACGGCGGAGATCAGTTCCTTTCTCGGCCACAATCGTTTGATTAGGAGTCGAACGCAAAACAGGCGCAACATTTAACCATCTTCTACCCGAACCTCATCATCATCTCGACGCACAGTAGACCGTGCTGGCACGCCCGCACACAACTGAACTGCATCCAAAAGAAGGACGTCACATGTTGACGCACATCCCCTCGGCCCGGAGCACCAGGCCGTGAGATTCGCAACAGCCAACAGCAGCACGTATAACGTACCATCGTCTCCAACACCGTGTCTGTATTGGTATCGAGGATTCAAATAATATGTTGGTCAAAGAAACATATACTCTAATAAGAGAAATAATACTTATGCAACTAAAGAAATGAATTGCAAATTATGACATAATTAATACCTGCTGCATACAAATCATGGTATAATGTTTTATATCATCGGTTATCAATTATCTTTATGACCCACCTTGCACCATGTTTTCTTTCCGATTCCTCCTTCACTACACGCATTAACTCATATATTGCCCCCATAGTAGGATACACCTCTGTGTCAACGATCCGTAAAACTTTGTAAAGAGGTTCAAACACTTGGCACACATGTTCTGATTGAGTCCAAAAAGAATGATCAAGCACTATACTTTCCACCATACGACTTGCATTTGAGCGGCTGAAATTGTGGTTGGCCCAATGTTCGCTAATGAATAGTTGCTTCAACCCTGATTTCTTCTTAAGTAGGCTGTCTAATGCAATATAGTTGGTGGCGAATTGTGTGGTAGCTGGACGAATAATTTATCCTTTCAAAAATTCACGCATCTTTGCCAACAACCAACCGTGATTGTAAATGTAATTTGTGATTGTTCTAGCTCTTTTTATGACATTAGCAATATTCTCTCTCTTCCCCATTGCCTCAAACATGAGATCAATACAATGTGTTGCACATGATGTCCAAAATACATTATGATGCTTCATTAACTTTTTTCCGACTTTGACAAATGCAGAACCGTTGTTGGTCACGACTTGGACAACATTATGGTCTCCCACCTCCATGATCACATCCCTCAATAGTTTGTAAATATACTTGTAGTTCTTTATATGGTCTGAAGCATCAACATACTTCAAAAAAATTGTCTTTCCCTTGGAGTATACCATGAAGTTTATGATAGACAATTTGGTCGGGCCAGTCCATCCGTCACACATGATTGTGCAATCATTAGTTTCCCACTTTGACCTCAACTTGTTGACATACTCGCTAATGTCTTTATACTCCATTTCCAATATTTTTTTTTTACCTCATAGGAAGTAGGAGGTTGCACTCCAACACTAGCCTGTTGACATCCCAATACCATATTTTTGAAATGATGTGACGATGCCTTCTCAGCAGGGACATTATCATAGATAAAGAACTTGCTAATTAGACTCCCCATTCCCTCCTTCACATTACCTCTAGTGAAATAACTCCAAACACTCTTTTGGTGTGCTTTGGATGATTTATATAAACTTGGGGCCATTGGTGGTGTTGGTTGTGATTCTCTAACACTTGCTCCCCGTCTCATCTGTGCACCACCACTTGTCCCGGAAACTTGTGCTCTATTAGGAAGTTTGTGGAGGTGTTCTCTTTCCCATGTTGACTGTTTGGAGGCACGTAATGCTTGTTTGAAATTGCGTCGCTCTCCAGGTCCCATGTCATCATCACATTCATCCTCATCGTCATCATCATCACTGTCAACTGCTTGGCCAATGACTTCTCCTCGTAGTCCAGCTCGAATATTTTCCATTCCATGTGTTTTCTTTTCCTTCTAGTGTTGTTTATTTTTTAACAATGTGGTGATGAATGCCTTCACTTCTGGGGGAACACTATCGCATCGTTGGACATTATTTCTTGGACCTAATCCACTAAGATGATACTTAAGTAATGTCACTCCACCACTCTTTATTACCTGACCACAATATTTGTAAATTGAGCCATTTTTGTTTCCGTCTATTGGGTCTCCATGTTCCCAAGCTGGATCACGTTTAGTAACTCCACTAGACATCTTAAACGTACCTATATTTATTTGTCATAGAAATTAGGAAATTATTTTTGGCCAAAAAATATAATAGTGACGGTTATATAAGAGAACCTAAATAATAAAGTTATTCTACAGAAGAATTAAATAGGAAGCAAAGAAAATGATTGTAGGAATTTAAGTAATTACGAAAATAATATGGAATAATAAAACCTATTAATGAATAATAATCCAATTCGGTAATAAAATAATAAATAACATTAAACATATTAAAATTATCCTAGGGAATAATTATACAACATTACTTAATTACTTCAAAGAATTAACATGCAAGTATTATTTGGTTCTCATATCACATGCACCAGCTCACACAAATTTTTTGTTGTTTTATAAATTACAATAACATATATATAAGTTTGTAAACTTACCTTAAATATGGAACCCTTTGTGTAAAGGCTAAATAGAATCTGCATGGACCAACAAGAAAACAATAATGAAACAATGTAACAAAATGTGATGGAAGCATATAAAGTCTTTAATAATAAATTTAGAGACAATAAATACACATGTAAGTGACCAAATAAAGAATAGAAAAATTAAAAACCACATGCCATTGACTAAGTAATTAATTGACACAATTTAAAATATAATACCACCAAAAATTTGGAATAGATAATAATAAACATGCAAATTAAATAACAATAATGAATGAGAATAACTTACTATAAACTTGCGGGGAAATTGAGGTTGATAGATGTTGAGAAAAATATGAGCATTAGGTTTTGTTTTGAAGAGATGTTGAGAAATAAGGGACGGCATGGGACCATTCGATTTTATTGGTATATATAGAAATAGGATTACCTAACTATATGTATAGAAATATGACTACAACTAATTAGTTAGGTGAGTGGTTGAATGGTGGGGTAAATGAGTAAGTTGAAACGTAGTGAATAGTTGAAAAGTTGAAACTTGAAAAGCAGCTCGCAAGTACTATATTATATATACTAGATTCCATAGTTTATAATCATAAACTTATGACCAGCGTGGTGGTTAAGTGGCTGCAATTTTCAAAGTGGAGAGGGGTTCGAACCCCAGTGTGTGTGAGAGCGTGAGTGAGTTTAAATTGTTTAATTTTTGAAAGTTCATATCGCGATATTTTGACCATATCGTAACTAAAATATCGGCGAAATTATCGAGGAAATTATCGATAAATTGACAATATATAAAGATGACGTTCCATCTACATCACTGATGTATTATCTTGTACTTAACCACGATGGTAATTGTCGTCTTAACAACGTATGAAGTGCTCTTGTACTACAACGGTTATTACAATGTCGTGTGAGGTTATGTTTGCTTGAGAAATACTTTTCCCCTTCATTCTTCGATATCATGGTTCATCCAGTACTATATCTTGTCAGAGAAGTTAGTCTATGTGGGCCACTTTATTTTAGATGGATGTATCCATTCGAAAGATTCGATGACGCTTTTGGTCATTATTGAATAACATATTGAACTTTTATTTTTCTTCTTTCTATGTTAAATTGAATTAAGATATGATTAATTTACAAGTTCAAAGTTAACTCAATGGGAAAGACAATAATGGCGTATCAGAAAAGTTGAGGTGGCTAGCAGCTGGTCCAAGAATAGTACTGCCATCATATAGGAGCTATCTTATTAATGGTGTTTAATTTAACACCAAGGCGCAAGATGATGTGTGAACTGTCCAAAATAGTGGAGTTTATTTACTTGCACATACTATGCAAGTCGCTAGTGCCAAGGATAAAAACTCGATTATCTCCAATGTAGGTTTTTATGGTGTCATTCAAGAAATTTGGGATCTTTACTACCAAAAGTTTAGAATTTTAGTCTTCAGGTGTCATTAGATAGATAACACTTCAGGCCCTGTAGCAACGAACTTGGATTTACCCTTGTAGATCTGAGTAAAATTGAACAAACAAGTATTTTTTGTTGACAACCCAATGCATCATAGTTGGTCGGTAGTGTTATCAATGCCTAACAGAGAATATAATGATGTTATTGGTGATGATGTGAGATGTTAGAATTGAGTGTGAGGCATTTACTAGAGGGATACCCAATGTTGACATATTTGATGACCTAGTGGCTGAGTTTAGGAGTGAAAATATTAGAGATGGGTGTGAAGATATATGGATTGATTGATGGTTGTAATGTATGACATTAGTTATGCAATAAATGGCTCTGTTTGACATTATTTTTATCACTTTTTCATTATGTGGATTTTGGGCATGACAATTCTGGTATTAAAAATAGTAGGTTGAAGATGTAAAATACGATGGGACAGTTAACAAATTGCAAAAACATAGGTCTAAATGATACCCAACGTCATTTTTTAACAAACGTCATGGAATGGACGATATAAGCGATCGTACATAAATAAAAACCACTATTTGAAATAAATAAAAACACGTCGGTTAATTAAAATTGATACTAAATAACAATTAGGCGACCCTGAAAAAAATAATAACCAACAACGACAGTCAGGTTAAGCAGTTACTACTCAAAATTCATGACAGCGTTGTTCATAGAAGCGACATTTCAAAAGTAATAACACGACTGTAAAGGGTACAAAACGACGTATTTAACGAGTTCACTACAACCTCCCATAAACCTCCCATAAATATTTACTATCGTCGAAAAGGACCACAAAAGGCTTCTCAGTTTAAATATCTGTTGTGAGAGTTCCTCTGAATGTTGGTAAGCTGACACCTACTGTTGTCTCACCAAATACACATGATGATATTGGTGTTACAAGCGCCTTGTAGTGTAGGAACCACGTGTATATTTATATTCTCCGCCTCGTGGTAAGTTAAGTAACAACGACGTCTAGGTAAATACTAGGGGTCATAGTAGATAGTAATAACTATGTTCTTTCTATATTTACAGTCGTTACTACAACATTTAAAGGTTGGTAATGACCAAAAGCGTCATGGAATCTTATTAACCACGATCGTTTTTTTAAAATAACCGTTGGGACAGTCGTTTTGAACGATGGTTATGTAATATATAGGGTCATGGTTACTTTATGTTACGACGAGACATGGATAAATTGTGACATGATATCTCCTCCAGACGACACCATGTTCCAAAAAGCGTTGTCTAAGCATATCGAAGTTGCCTTTTTTGTTGTTTTTTATATTAATTAGACATCGATTGTGAACCAATAGCGTCGTTATACATAGTAATAACTACGTTCTTTCCATATTTCCAGCCATTACTACTTCATTTGCACATCAGTATGGACCATAAGCGTCGTGGAATATTTACTAACCACAGAGGTTTATTTTAATATACCATCGTGGAAGGGATTCTGCACGGCGGTAAGTTAATATTTAGAGTTGTGATTACTCTATGTTACATTGGGACGTGGGTAAATTGTGTCATGTTATCTCCTTGCAACGACACATATCGAAGTTAGCCTTTTTTGCTGTTTTTATATTAAGTAGTCATCGATTTTTATTTAAAGATGACGTAGTATGTTGTAACAACGTCGGTAATTTACCATCGTGGTTTTATGTACCAAAAGATGACGGTCGATTTCACGACAGTGGATTCCCGTCGTCTATTGCGATTTTTGTAGTAGTGTCCAGCCAGCTTCTGCAGCAGCTCCCTTGACTATTTATTCTTTCTTCATCTTTGTTGGCTTTGCTTACTCATCCTTAACAGTTAACATATAAACAAGAAAAAAGCTAGAACAAGAAATGATGTGCTCGCCTATGTTTGAACGAATTCTATTGTCGTCAATGTTGTAGTTTCAACCCTTGCTTGCTTGCTTGCTTGCTTGCTTGATGCTCGTCTCAACACCACCTCCACTTTCATGATATTCGTCGTTGAAGTCAAAAATCCCAAAGCCTTTGCCTTCTTGCGCGATGATTACATTCCTGCGAGGTCTTGCTACATATCTGGATGGCCATTGTGCGCAACTGCTTCATATTAAACAAAAGAAACTATAAGATAAGAGTAAAACAATAGTCAAGAATGATTTGAAAAAATAAAATAAACTCCTGAAAATTTGATGATATGTCAACGAAAAGAAGGGACAAGCAATTGCAGCCCCTTATGAAAAAGGACGCTTTTTCAATATCTAAAGATATTCTTCCATTAACTGAGTAGCAAGGAATTACTTATTCGCTTTTGAATTACTTTTTCTTTCTAATGTTATCAATTCTAACAAACTCATTACAATGGTTAATGATTGTTAGAAATCTAGGTACGTAGTGTCAAATTTTCATCAAGTTGTAAATTTTCGTTAAATACACTATATAATGAGTAGTTCCACTACTAATAGCATCGAGACCTTTTATATAAAACTCTAACTGCCATGAAATCTCAATGTAACATCCCGACCAAAATTAATTATTATTTAATTTCTAAATTAAGCTGCACCGTTGCATCGAGCTCTTTGAAATGAGTTCGTAGACGGGCGGCATGCTCAATTCCGAGGTCTAACAACGAAAAGGGCACATTCGCCATTTTAAAAACTGAAAAAAAAAAAATAGTAAAACCGATTCGGCCCATGAGTGGACCCTGCTCCCTCTCAGTTCTCTCTTTCTCTCTCTCTCCCCGATACCTCTCTCTCTCGGTGAACTCGATTGGGGGGGGCTTCGAGGAGATCGGCCGCATCCAGCGACGCGAAGGCATGGGACCAGTCGGGAACTGATAGCTTGAGTCTGGCGATCATGTCTGGGTTGGAGCCCCATCTCGGGGGCCACTGACGGCGGTGTTGGAGC